CCAGATCCCAATCATTTGCTCCTGCATACCACTTACACATCAGCTCAGTCCCCCACCTTAAACATGACTTCTCCTTGAACCATCTTCTCTGACCTCAGTACTACCATCACTGTCCACACCCAGCACTGAACTATACTGTGGGATAATAAATTATTTGCACACAGACAAGGGAGAGAAGTATTGCATGGGAGGTGAATTTGGTTATGATGTTAGTTGCTTTTAGATTTTTTTTCACAAAGGAGAGGTCCATGGAAAGAAGCTCAATGTGCCTTAGCCAGTAGCTTGATTAATGGTAAAGACTTTCTAAATCTCAGGGACCAATGCTTTTTCTTTGCTTTTTTTTTCCCTCTCCCAAACATTGTCATAATAAACTTTTGTTTTTCAGGCATTTGGCAAGTTTTCCACCATTTCCCTTTATACCTTTCCTAAAATGGATTATTTTTTGTATTTAACTCTAAGCTCTAAGGACACATGGTCCAGAAAACAAAACTTTTTTTTCCAGACAAATTCTAATGGCCATTTTTATCCTGAGGTTTTTGCCAAATTGTTAAAGCTTATAAAAGAGTACTTTTGTTACTAATATATATTCAATTATACTATAAAGTTACTTTACTAATAAAATTATATACTATAAACTTTAGGTCTATAAAATTCATTGGAAGAATAGGTTCTGAATATGAGCTTAGGACACTGGCAATTTATTCATTTACTCAGTGGTCATCTAGCAACTCAGTCAATACTTCTCTCTTGACTGTCTAGTCATTTCTTAGGAAGTTTTAAAATATTGGACAATAAAATATCAATTTCTCAGAATCCTATTCTCTTCCATGATGCCTACTTTTCTAGTACAGCATGGCATACTTTGAGCCAACACATATTTCTTATTAAATAGATGAAATAGTAAGTATCCCAGGCCTTACAGATATTCCCACAAAATACAGTCTATTTGCATATATTATTGGCCACATGTACATAGCCTGGTAATACCAGAAGGGAACTCTGCCAGGAATGCATTTTTAGATGAGAGAGGTGCTACCTCCAGCATTAATGTATAATAAATGAAAACCCCAGACTCCCAGAAGGATAAATCACCCAAAAAAGGTCATGAGCTAAGAGGATAATATCAGAAGAATAGCCTTGATTATCTGGGGACTCTTAGTGTTGGGAGGATTCAAAAAGTAAGCTGCCTTTGAGATGTCTACTCAGGAAGCAGGTGCAGTGGAAGAGTTAAAGAAGTCAGAGCTGACCCAGTGTACCTGGTTCACCTAGCATCACAAGAAACTGTCAGGCAAGGTGGAACACCCATAGCCAGGCCTGTAACTATGGAGTGGGATCTGCACCTCTGAAGAATCATGGTAGTATGCACCTCAGTAACAATACAGTCCCAACAAACAGGGTAGAAAGTAACAGAAGAGCCTGGAGACCAGGCCCTGGTTTCTACCATAGCCTCTAGAGGAAAAGGCTGATCTCCTTACTCCCCACCTCCATAGTACACTGTAAGCACAGAGATTTTAGAGCAAGTTAGGAGGCAATGGGACAGACCAAAATATTAAATTTCATCCCAGTAAAGCAATAGAGGATCAACTGAGAAAAAATAAAATAAATTAATAATAATAAATTTAATCATACTTGAAGCCTGAGTTTAATAATAATTCATGCTGATTGTATATGTGACATATCTGTTTGTGTGTACTTTTAGCCATTAAAGTACAATACGTTCATGTTTTAAATTTGGACTAAAAATCCTTCCTTTTTTGGTATGCAAAACAACTTTTCAAGGATAAAGGTATTTTTAAAAAAATAGGCTGATTTATATCCCAGATGCAAGCATCATCTTTTCTGGCTCCTGGTTACTTTTTGTTACTATAACCTTCTCCCATGGGAATTCATGGAGAATTGACAGCAAATCCCAGAATGTATCAGAATGTTCCTAACAAGGATTAACTGGTTTTTCTATCTCCTCTTACTTTCATACAGTCCCAACAAACAGACTTTGTGGTCTTTACAGTAAAAAAGTATCTGGCAAAAGTCCCTGCCTAATATAAACTCTTCCCTAATAATCCTTCATTTGTAAGTGCACAGTGGTTCTTTTAATAATAGCTCATATAATTTTATCTCATCAAGTTAGAAAAGGCCTTTGGGAGGATGTTAGTTTAAATTTGTTCTATAAAAATGCTAGTTTTGAGGGCTGGGGTTGTGGCTCAGCGGTAGAGCACTAACCTAGCAAGTGCGAGGCCCTGTGTTTGATCCTCAGCACCACACAAAAATAAATAAATAAATAAAAATAAAGGTATTGTGGGTCCAACTACAACTAACAAATACATATTAAAAATTGCTAGTTTTGCTATTGGAAGTAGGGAAAGGCAATATATAAATGTCTAAGTGTTACATACTTAAGAATATACTTGTATATATGAATGCAGATAAGCAACCTTACACATGATTTATTCTGATTCTTGTAAATGATTTATCAGATGAGAAATCAAAGAATATCTAATAAACATGACAAGGTAACTGATACCTTGCCTCCCATCAAAATACAATAAAACTAGCTAAAAAAAAAAAAAAACTTTAAGGCAACTGTTTTCAAGCAATGGACAAGTAATATAGAATAAGTCTTAAAGTAAAGGAACACAAGAGGTGAGCCCTGTTTGCCGAGGGGCACAGGGAAGTGGAACCCAAACAAGACTGCAGGAAAGTGGAACCAAAACTACAGTCTCACAAAGCAAAAGCAAGACTATTTGACTTCACATTCCCACAGCCTATCTTTACTAACCACAAAGCCTATGGATCTCAAGAACAGAATCCGGGACTGGAATATTCAAGTTTAGGGAAGCCTCCTCTGCCCTCTCCTTGCTTTGTCTTTTACTGTTTGTCTCCCGTTCCACATGGCTATTTCTAGCACCTCATAGGATTTCACAATACTGTGCAGTATCCCAGAGAGAAAGACAAATTGATTTAACATTTTGGGGATGTACACATATCCCCTAACTCATTCAAATCACAATAGTTATAATGACTTTATAATGAGATGTATAAGTGATTCAAATAAGTAGTAGCGCCAAGTCCACTGCTATTCATGGTGGTCCAGGAAGAAAAATACAATCATGCTCAATCAAAAGTTCCTATTCAAAACAATAGAAAAAAAACTAGGAAAATAAGATAAAAATATGACTCAATTTTCTTATATAACAAGTGAAATATAAATAAAAAATTATATGAAAGAATCGGGGAACACACACTGTTCACTGGTTTTTAGGAGGTTATTAGGAGGCAGTCAGTGATATCAGAAGTACATGCTTAACCTCTGAGAACACATAATGGAAGGAAATGACCGCATTCTACACAAAATGATCTTATATTACAGGAAAAGACAAAATAATAGAACACATAGAACAAAATTGTATGTTTGTATGTTCTTTAAATGTATGTAAAAAGGGTTTTGCAGCTGAAGCATTATATCCGTGCATCTTGATTCTATAAAATACTTAATCTCATATATGAAAATATTACTTTTATGTAATCTTCAAAACAGAATCTAATTTTCTGGATATCTGAATACATAAACTTAATGAAAGCTAGAATGATGAAATCGCATCAAGTAAGATTATATATAATGCACCCTAAAGACTGTATTTCTATATGGAATTGAATTTTGTTTTGCTTTAACTATAGTTGGAAACAATAAGGCACTTATTATATGAGGCTTAAAAACTGTTTTTTAAAGCCAAGTCACTGTTCTACTAATATCATTTTTGCAAACAGTACCTGGACCTATATATTAAGGCAAAGGTAGAAAGTTAAAACATAAATTAAATTCTAAGACTCAAATTTAAATTGTCCTAATAAATTCTAGTATGACACCTAATTAAATCAAAGTTGATGTATATCATATCACTATTTCACTAGAAAATAAGACAAAAACAAAACCAAAATACAGTTACTATGCTCTCATTTAGAATGTTTGTACTGAAAAAAACTTTAGGGGTCTTTTTTTTTTTCAATCACAAAGAAATATCACAGACTTCTTCATTCATGGATTTAACCTTAAGTTTTTATTCTCACCTAACATCAAGTTCTATGACAGGTAGTAATTTGTAATTTTGTTTGAGTCACACATTTCACTGTATACACTTAAAGGCTGGTTGGTGTTTCTAAAAGAATAACTAAATAAAAATAATTCCTTCCAATGTGACATTTGTATCTTTTTCAGCTCATCCTTGAATAAATGATAACTTTCATGTAATACCTGAAGCACAAGTTGTTTTTTTTAATTCTTAAATCATACTCCATCTTTTTGGTTTTTTAAAATGGGAAATAATATATGACAGTAGAATTTGAAAATGTGCACCTCCACAAAGAAAGGTCCCTGAAATGCCCTTCACAAAAAGGTCAAGAGGTTTAATGTGACTTTCAAGGGAATACAGGGTCTTAGAACTATCTGCCTGTCATCAGAATCTAAAGAGATATTCAGCAGGCAGAATTGACAATTCTAAGACTCAAATTTAAATTGTCCTAATAAATTCTAGTATGACACTTAATTAAATCAAAGTTTATGTATATCATATCACTACTCACTAGAGAATAAGACAAAAACAAAAACAAAATACAATACACTCTATTTGCCTTTTATATACTAATATGATTATACCATACTCAGTTCATCTAAATTCTCTTAAAGTGAAATTCAGAACTGAAATAGCTCTTTGTACAAATAGTTTGCTAGAGCAGAGACTGGAAGAAGCATTGTTTGCAATATACAACTGTAGTAACTGTAGCCCTATCTTGTTAAGTGCTACCTTCTTGTATCTGAGTCTAGAGAAAGACTCTTGAGTCATTTCACCCACATACCTTGGTTTCATCTTCAAACAAATGAACAATCAAATACTTGCAAATACATTTATATCCATAGCCCACTGCCCAGACATACAGAGAAAAACATGAATAGAAATGGATTTATAAAACACAAGAAACTATTATACACTGTAGGCTATGATTACCTGGAGGTAGGAATTGCAGTTGATTATTAGCTAATCGAAGATGACGTAAAGCTCTCAGACGACCAATTTCTGGGCAAACAATTTCTAAGGCATTGTCACTAAGATCCAGATACTGGAGTTTTACAAGGGACCCAATAGCTTCAAATAGAAGAGAAGGGGAAAAGCAAAGTGAGTTTGACTCAAGTTTCATAGCAAATCTTTAATGAATGTGTTTCAATCTAAAATATTTTAATGCTTAATACCCCTTCCCCCCCGTCACAGTTGTTCACAAAATAGTAAAAAATCAGACTAATTTTTATGTAAATGATAAGTATTTCTACCTAGAGATAAAATATAATGTTTAAAAAGAAAGCAAATAAAAACATTTAAAAAGTGTAAAAAACTGCTTAAATAAATGATTCAAGAATTAATAAACAAAAGTAATCTAACCAAAATTCTTAACCTGATTTATTAGGTTTAGAATTCATTTTATTTTTAACCTATTATCTCATAATGATTTACTTAAGCATTTTAACAATTTTAGACTTTTAATTTATTTAACCATAATTCTTAACTGGTCTTTTTAGAGGAAAAATTTTTGAAACTAATACATTAAAGTGCTTTATAATTAAAATTCTCTAATACACCAAACAAGATAAGTTTAAAGAGATAATCTGTTCTACTTATAAAGCAAAGCTTTAACTGTATCATCTTCTAACTAAAAATTCTAGGTGTGCTTACCTTCTGGAACCACTACTATGTTATTTGAGTGAAGGTACCTGGGGCAAAAAGGAGGAAAAAAGAAAGAAAAACAGTGTTATTATTCAGTAATTTTGCCAGGTAAACAGTTAATAAAAGGCTCACTAGAGATTTATCAAATGTAAATGAGCCAAAACTTTCTTTCTCACCCTACTCTAATGTGTCACCACAAAATACATTTTTATCACAGCCAATCAATTATACTTTGAGTGAAATGTTATGCTAGAATTGCATATTAAATGCATGTACTGATTTAATTATTTTAAAATAAAAACTTGAGTAATAAATTATTTCCAACCTCATGAAACAAATTATTAGTTTCTCTAGTTCACCTTAAGTTATTCAGATTTTCAGAAATATATTATGTAAAAAAAGTTCAACCTTCTATTATTCAAGGGAGACACAACTTTTAGTTTCTAAAGGATAACATTGGAAGACAAAGATATTTCTAGCTAACATGCTGAGAAACAAGAATAGAGATTAAATATTCATCATTTAAAGTATCCACAGAAATACTCAATTGTCAAGGCCAGAATTTACTACATGGCAAAAGGAATTTCAAAAACAAGTCTCGGCATTCCTTTTAAAAAAAAAAAAAAAAAAAACGCCCAGATTTAACAAGTCTCGGCAAGTCTAGGTATTAACACTTTTCCCAATGAAATATCTTTAGCGCACTCTAGTGGAGACTCAAGCAACCAGCAGTAACCAGCTACTGAGAACAAAACAGTGACTGCTAGAAATTAAGAACTAATAACAATTTACAACTAGATTTTATAAACCTTATGCTCAGCCCTATCATTTTATTTACTGTACTTTAAAAATAAATCCTCATAAAGTATTATAAAATAGAATTTAAATTTTTCTTCTACATTTTGAAAGCCTAAAATTAAATGCTAAAAATGTCAATGAAATAGAATAATAAGAAATAATTTTCTGAATATTATTCTATGTTGGATTAAATCAACTGTAGATAGTATTAACCCACTAAGTCTAACACAATTTAAGCAAGTATGCTGTTCTATGATAAATTTCATTCCTTGCTTTACGTACATGAATTGATTACACATTCTATCTACACTGAGCTACATCCCTAGTCTTTAAAGTTCTTTTTTTATAGGTAGAGTTGAGACAAGTCATTTGTTGAAACAAGTTTTTCAGAGCAGTTTTCTGTTCTTACTAGGAACTCTGGCATTTATGAAACAAATGCAAGTGTGTATATTTTTGGCATTGTGTATGCACACTTATTCAGTCTTTGGACACAAAGAATTCTTAAAGTCATCTGATAAAGGAATTAGGAATTTCTTCCTGAAATCAATGTTTCAAGAAAACACAGAACAAGCCATATTGAAAGAAGCAAACAAAACTACCAATAAAGCATGCCAGAAAAAAGCAAAACAAAAAAAGAATATAAAATCTATATACCCAATAATGTAAAATTCATAAAACCCACTACCCAATCAAAAAGTATTAGATGTGACAAGAATTAGGAAAATGTGACCCAAAAACAGAGGAAAAATAGTCAATACAAATAGGCCCAGTATGACAAATTAGAAAATTAGAAAACAAGGACAGTAAAATAGCTATAATTACCATATTCAGGTATTTAAATGAAAACATGACATAGTGAGAACTGTAAGATATAAAGGAGAAATAAATAGAACTTCTAGAGATTAAAAATATAATAAAGTAAAAACATCACTGGTGGATTAACTGAAAAAAAAATATGACTGACCCTGATATCAGAAAAATGTGATTTGTTCCAGTACACAGAAAGACAAAAATAAAAAAACACTCACAGTCTTAGAGAGAATGGAATATATTAAAAAGTTAAAAAATATGTAATAGTCCCATAAATGGAGCAAAAAAATGGGTTTAGAACTAAATATCAAAAGAATTGATGTGAAAAATTGATGAAAACTATGAAGATACAAACTCAAAAATCACAATGAACCTAAAGGATAAGGAAAATAAAAACCACAAAATACATCAAAATTAAATGCCTGGAAAGCTAGTATAAAAAAAAATAAAAACTCTTCAAAATAGCCCAAAGGGGAAGGGAGACACATTAAACTCAAAGGAACAAATACAAGAACAGTAGATATCTCCTCAGAAACTTTGCAAGCTAGAGGATAATGGAATAGAAGGTTTACAAAGGTTAGCAGAGGTAGCACAGAAGTTCTAAAATAAACAAAACAGTAACCTGGCTACTAAGAAGTCTAATCCTAAAAGACACATCATTTAAAAAATATAGAAGATGAATATACAACAAAAGAATGTAAGACTTTTACAGGGAAACGGAAAAGTCATTAAGACTTAGAGATAGATGAAGAATTCTTACATTGACACCAAAAGCATGATACACAAAAGCAAAAACTGATAAACTGGACTTCATCAAAATGTAAAATATTTACTACACAAAAGAAAATAAAAGAAGATGGAAAGACAAGCTATATACCGGAAGAAATATTTGTAAACAAAATACAAAAAAAACCCTTAATTTTTAGACTATAGAGAGAACTTTTCAAACTCAAGAATAAAAAATAAAATTAAAGCAACCAATGCAGATACTTCACCAAAGATACCAATGTTGAATAAATATATGAAAAGATGTCAATATCATTGGCCAATAGAGAAATACAAATGAAAACCACAATGTGATAAATCACACATCTATTGAAATTACTTAAAATGAAAAATAGTAATAATACCAAAAGATGGTGAAATGTGCAGACAATGGAACAATCTTACATTGTTAGGGGAAATGTAAAACGGCACAGCTAAGCTGGAAAATTTTGGGGCAATTCTTGTAATACTAAAAACTGAGCAAAAGTGGCAGAGAAAAAAACCTCCAAAAATTATCTTTTCCATAAAGCCAATGAGAATACTCGCAAAATGTTTTAGAAGTTATATATACAGGGATGTGGAAATGAACCCAAGACTTGTGGTAATATAGAGCTAACATGTACGTAAGGGGGAAAAATGACAAGAATGTCTATAGGAATAGTGGGCCATGAGCTTTGTAGTGTTTTCACTAACAATATTCCTTTCTCCCATTCTCCAGCTCTGCAGAAACCTGGAAAACCAAGAGTTCACAACTAAATTGAATAGCAGTGCCCTGGGCTAGAACCAAATTGGAGCCCTTTTAAAGTCTCATTCCCTGGAAACTGTCATTATTCAACTTGTCTTAGGGTTCCCCAGAAGACTCTACTTATAAAGCTGTCTATTTATCTTACAAGGAACTAGCCTTGACCAAAATCCCTACCTCAAGTGTTGTAAATTGAAATAAATGACAGATGATTATTTAACTTTACAGATGCCTGAGGCAGTAAGTACCAGATGAAACAAATAATAGACAAACCAAAACCCTTAAAAAGAAAAGCCGTCCAGAGGAGCTTTTAAAAGCCTGGCTATTCCTGGGGATCTAGAAAATCACAGGCATACGTGGAGTTGTACACAGGCCATAGCTCTACAAATGCTCAGGTAGGAACTGTTGAGGTCTTACTCTTTTACCTCAGCTGAATTGGAAGTGAAGGCAACAAGTAAAGAGTTGTCTGCTATCAACTACAGACAACTGAAAGGTGAATGCATGTCACAACACTCATACAAAGTCCCTCAGTAAAGACAAGTGGACTTAAGAGATTCAGTCGGTTAAGGAGTCTCTGCCTAATCATTAGCTGACCACTAATGGTCTTAGAATAGGTCTTCTTAGAATAAGCCTAGAGTAATTTCAAATTAGTTGTCAGTTAGTGATTAGAAAGAGGCCACTAAGATTACTGACCAAATATTTAAAAGGGCGGGGGGATAAAAGGAGAGAACTCTTGCCAACTCATTCTATAAGGCCAATAACACAGTGATACCAAATGCAGGCAGAGATATCATTAAAAAAAAAAAAAAGACTACAGAGGAATATATTCCTTATAAAGACAGCTTCAGAATTCCACAACAAAATACTAACAAACCAGAACGCATAAAAAGGATTATACTCCAAGACCAAATGGGATTTACCCCAACAATACAAGGTTGGTTCAATGCACAAGTTGAAAGGGTAAAGTTTCTAAGCTGCAAAGCCTGAGTTAAAATGTAAAGGACCAGGCATTGTAAACCTGTTTCTAAACTGCAAAGTATGGGTTAAATTCCTGAGGCAGCTAAGACAAGGCCCTACTGGGAATTTAGTTGATTTATGGCCTGGGATCCTGTGTAACTCCTCACATAAGCATTCAAGACCCTGTGCTGCTTGTCACGTAGACATTCAGGGCCCGAACCAATCAGTTTAAATGTAACCCCCTCCTTAGGAATGACCTATCACTCCAGCCAACCTGTTCCCGCCAATGAATGTACTAATCAAGTCTAAGAATTATTGTTTGATTTTCCTGCGGTGTATGGAGATTTGTTAAAGGAGACTATGATGTATGCAAAGCCCCGCCCTCCCCAAAAAGTGTACTTAAGCATTGTTCAACCCCTGCTCTGGGCTCTGGGCTGCTCTACTTTCCTGAGTGGGCACGGAGCCTCAGCATGCTGAATCAATAAATCCCCTTCTGCCAATTGCATGAGTGGTCTCTTGGTGGTCTCTTTCTCCGACGCTTCGCCAGACCCTTACAAAGTATTGATCAATATAATATGCCATATTAGTAGAATAAAGAATAAAAACTACATGATCATCTCAATAGATGAGGGAGAAAGAAAAAAGCAAACTACAAAGTCAAACATCCTTTTAAGTTAAAAAAATAATAAGAAGGGAACTTTCTCAACTTTAGAATACCTATGAAAAACAGTTAATATTACACTTAATGGGAACAAAACAAAAAAAACAAAAACATGAAAGATTTTCTCTGAGATCAAAGTACCTGCTCTCCTCATTTCTTTTCAACATTCTAAGTTCTAGCCAGGGCAATTAATCAATAAAATAAAAAGGCATATACAGATTGGAAAGGAAGAAGTAAAGATACCTTTATTGGCAAAAAAAACCCATGATCTTTGTAAACAAAAATCCTAAAAAACAGACACACACACATACACACACACACACAATTAGAATTAATAAATGAATTCAACAAGGTTACCGAACATAAGATTAACATACAAAATTCTGTTGTACATTTTTATATACCAGGCAATGAACAATTCTAAATTGTAATTAAAAAGAAAATTCCATTTACAACAGCATCACAAAGAATACATACATGGAATAACTGATAATCAGTTTCTTTCAGGGTAATGAAAATGTTCTGGAATTACACAATAGTAATGGTTGCACAACCTTGTGAATACAAATCACCGAAGTCATATACTTTAAAAGGGTGAACTGTATCTCAATAAAAAGAAATGAAATATGCAATTACCACATGACTCAGCAATTGCAATCTTATCCATTTAACCCAGAGAAATTAAAACTTATTTACAAAACAGCAAGTACACAAATGTTCACAGCAGCTTTATTCACAATAGCCTAAACTGCAAAAATGTCTTTCAATGGGTGAAGATATCATATTCATATCATGAAATATAACTCAGCAATAAAAAGGAATAAATTGTTAACATATGAAGCAACTTGGATGAATCCCTTATGCTGAATGAAAAAGAAATTTAATCCCCAAAGATTATATACTGTCTAATTCCATTTATATAACATTCTTAAAATGAAAAAATCATAGGGAAATGGAGAATAGATTAAATGTCTGCCAGGGTAGGTTTTTTTGGGGGGTGGGGGTGGGAGGATGTTTGATTCTAAAAGTATAGCTCAAGTGATTCTAACACTGATAAAAGTATTCTCTACCTTGACTATCAGAATGATTACACAAATATATACTGATAAAGGTGGTAAAAATAAACATCAAGAAAACTCCACATAATTAAATATACACTCACAAATGAGTACATGAAAAACTGATGAAACAAAATAAAGTGGTGGATTGTACCAATGTCAATTTCCTGGTAGTGATCTTGTACTACAGTAAGGCAATAAGACAATAACATAGGGGAAAAGTGGAAGAGTACAGAATGTTTCTGTATTATTTTTTACAACTACATGTAAACCTACCATCATCTTACAGTAAAACTTTAAAGAAAAAAAAAAAGGAAATAAAGACTTTTTTCAAGCAAGCCAAATCTGAGAGAATAATATGAGTAAATACATGACTTTTTCACTTTAATTTCCTTAAACTGATCATTTAAATTAAAAATTATAATAATGTGTTTTACCAGTTTTCAGTTTACTATCTCTCAAGTCCTGATTTAACTTCTTTGCTGTCTTTTTTGATCCTAGCGCTGAATTTGTCAACACTTCTCCTTTGCCAATTAGACTAATGTCAGGCTTTCTCAAAAGAGGAGGCTAAAGTGACTCCACAAGTCAAGCAAGAAGTCACCCCCGTTCTAGCTCCCCTCCCATTTTTAATTTAGGACAAAAGCCAGATCCAAGTGGTGCTCCCCTCCCCTGTTAGACAACCTCAAATCACATGTTCAAATTATGCTCTCTCCACCTAAAAGCCATTTTTGCAGCAGTTCTGGTGCAGCTACAGGCCACTGCCACTCTGAGGCTTCTTCTGTAGTAGCTCTGCCACACTCTCTGCCAGCCTGCTACTACAGACCAGTTCCAGACTGCCAACATCTTCCTGCAACAGTAAGCCATTATAACAGACCAGGTCTGGTTTAAGCCATCTGCTGAGTCTCTTCCCCAACAGCAGGCTGTTGTTCTTGAGGCAGCCCTGCCATCTATAAAGAGCTCTTAATTCTTAACCTGGGGGTTGCTGTTCTCCTAACAGTCTTCATTACTTCTGTCTACCCCTCAGCCCAGAGGCAGTAGCTGCTTATTTGTATTAAATCCAGTCTCCACAGAGTCTTCCTTAACTTTCTTTAGTACTTAATAACATTTTGCTACTTTAAAATATCTTTATATTGATTTTCCTTATTTAAATTAGGGGTGTGGTTTCTGTCTCCTAACTGGACACTGACTAACACACACACACGCACACACAAATACACACTCACACATACAACAGCACAAAGAATGGGAAAAATGATCTGGAAGTACTAACGTAAACATCCATATATTACATGTGCATGTAAAGTGGTAATGATATCACATGAAGACAGATTATGTTAGGAAACAGATGTATATCAAAAACTTTACAACAATGAAATGAGGTACAGTTAATGGGCCAATATTGGTACTAAGATGGAATCTTAAACACTAGAATAATTAAAACAAAGGAAAGAAAGGAGGGGAAAAATAACAAAAGACAGGTGGAACAAATAGTAAATAAGATGGTAGACTTAAAACTTAATCAAATCAACAATCACATTAAATGTAAAAGGTCTAAACATGGCATAAAAAGGCCTGGATTATTGAACTGTGCAAAAATGAAAGAACCATCTAGAGTTGATTTTAAAAACTCCACTTTAATTATAAAGAAACAGGTTAAAATAAAAGAATGTGAGTTTCAATTCCAGTATAGCAGAATAAGCTCCCACTGGACTGATATTCTGTCAGGTAATAACTAAAACACAAAGAATAACACACACATACACACACACACACACACACACACACACACACACACACACACACCCCACAATCCTAAGGCACTGTACAGTAAACAAAAACAAGCCAATTCTAGAGAAAAATCAAAACTTAAATGCTAGAATAGTACTGGGAGAGTTTAAATTCTTTCTTTTCTTTATCCCACCCCTATTTTTTTAAAGAGCATTTAGTCTAGGGAGGGTATAGTTATCATGCAAAATGGCTAAAGGCATATCTAGAAACTGCTGGAAACCAAAGGGAAAAAAAATCTTGAAAGCAGCCAGAAAAAAAAATTTAAAAAGACATTTTATATATGTGTGTGTGTGTGTGTGTGTGTGTGTGTGTGTGTGTGTATAGAAGGAAGGATTAGAATACTACTGTCATCTCATGAGAATCTAAAAAACAGTCAAAATACTTTTAAAGAACTCAAAGAAAAGTACTGTTGAGCTAAAATTTGACAGTCATTGTATATATAACAGCTTGAGATATAATTCCAATCTTCCTATTCATGATTGTTTCACCTTATTGTGTGTAAAATCCACGAGGATTTTTCTTTAAAGTCTGAAAAAGTCTTTAACAAATTTCCACAGTCATTACAAGTAAAATTCTTTGCTAGGAATTAATAGTTGGTAGGCAGCTCAAAGATAGCCTAAGTTGATCTCTACTAGCTGGCATTCAAGTCCTATGCAACAGCCTCCACTCAAGTGTGGGGCAGACCCAGTAACTCACTTCTCCTGGACAACATAAGAAGAGTGATGAAATGTCACATCCAAGATTAGTTAGAAAGAGATTATTGCTTCCGTCTTCCATTCTCTCTCTTGCCCTTTTGCTTGCCTGCTCTAATGGGAACTAGTTGCACGGCTGTGAACTATGGAGAGGACAAGTGGTAAGGAACTGAGATCTTCCTCTGACCAATCAACAATCAGTAAGAAACTGAGTCCTCAGTCCAGTAGTCTCCAAGGAATTGAATCCTGGCAACAACCTCCAGAGTGAAAGCAGAAGAGGATCCTTCTTCAGATGAGAACACAGCCCTGGCCAACAATTTTGACTGAAGCCTTGTGGGAGACCTTAAAGCAAATGCATCCAGCTATGCTTAGGCTCAGATGTTAGAGTTTCAGAAAATACAAGATAATAAATGTTTATTCTTTGAAGGCACTATTTGTGGAGATAATTTGTTAAGCAGCAATAGATAACACAGGTAGATAGATACTGGCTTAACACTACCAAAAATCATACCAAATAAAGAAGAGAACAAGAAAAGGAAATGCAAACCCTCCTACATCAAGTTAAGAAGATAGTTAGAAAGAAAAATAAATAGAAGATCTAAGTTTATCTTCCTTAATATAATACGTTAGCTGATACTTAAAGTTGATGCATTAAAAAACAAAGGTGTAAACATGTTATTTAGCATTATGGAGTTAACCATCAAAAGAACTAAAACTAATGAAGTGTGGGAAAGAGACCTTCAATGTCTATTTTAAACATTTCATACATCCAATGCTTATATCAATTACCACATATAGTAGTAGTAATAATAGATTTTTCCAATTACATGGGCTATCCAGAAGGATTCTGTTCCAATATATTGTATCCAGAAAAAGAAAAATGTATCATTCATCACCTTCACTTCCTGAGGTAAGATATTTAAAACACAACTTTAAATTGTAAAAAATAATTCAAAATACTATTTGGCCTAGCAGAACCACAGGTTTACCTATAGGAGCATCATGATAATGATATTAAAAAAATAACAAATTAATACATTAAAATGATATATCCTCTTAACTCAAATGACTTAAAATTATTTCCATTTGTTTTTTTAAAAAATTTGAGTAAACAGACTCACAGTTCCACAAGGTTTGGAAGCTTCTGAGCAAGGTTTTCTGGCTGAAAATTAAAAACTCAGAATTAAATTTTATTTTTGAAAAATGCATAAACATTTGTAATTAGTTTAAACACAAAGTACCAACTTGTTGAGGGGTGTAAACTTGGAGAGAATTTGAAAAATAATAAATCAGCAGGTCTGGGTTTCATGCTTACATAGACCATAATACAATTTATAAACTTGAACACTTAAAATCAATGTCCTTTAGAGAAACCAGAACCTCACATCCCATGGTCATGGAAGAAACAAAAATGTGCTTAAGAGACACAGACAGAAGGAAGAACACCATGTGATAGCAGCCAGAAACTGGAATGATGCAGCTTAAGCCAGGAGCCAAAGATGGCAGTTTGCCCCTGAGGCTGGGAGAAAGGCATGGAATAGATTCTCCCTCAGAGTCCCTGCACCCAAAACAAGTGTTACCTCTAGTTATCATGCCTTTGTCATGGCAGCCTGGGAAAGTACTGTACCACTCAAACTCCCAAGTCATGCCCCAAAAGAAAAAGAAAGAAGAATTTCCAGGGTCCCCAGGTACTAAGACCAAACAAGGCTCAGAATGAACAGAGGGAAGCTCACGTAGTCCAACAGAATGTAAGACCTGATCATAGGTCCTGAGATCAGAGAGGAGGTGAGGTGTGGTGGCTGGGAGAGGAAAGGGCCATCAGGAGAAGTGCCTTTCCCTGGCAAGAATCCTAGAACAATGCCACTCAAAGGTTAAGAGCAGGCTTCTCTCTGCTGGAAGCTGTGGGTAAGGGGGAAGGCTGAAAGCTAGCCTCCACACAGGGGTGCGTGTCAGTGTGAGAGTGCACCAGTCACACACAGTTCAAATCTATATGCCCACGGAGATCTAAGATACAAATTGTTAAGATTGAAGGAGCACACAAAGTCAAGAAAAAAAAATTTTTTTCATTCTACATTATAAACATAACTGTAGCTATCAATGACAAAGAATCAGGAATGTCCTTTTAGAAGAAATTAGATCTGACTTGAATTCTGAAAGATAAATGAAAATTATAACAGGCTGATAAAAAGTGGAGAGGAGTGTAGTTCTGGCTACCCTTCTAAGCATAGGAGGTAACAGGAAAAAGGGGTCTTCAGAGAAGGTTCATTTAGGAAATTGCAGGTATAATCTTTTCTGTTGTAACTCCATGATAGCAGTCCTAAAGAAATAAAAATTTTTCAAAAATCCTAGTACAAATCAATCATGTCAGTAGAAAACCTGGTCCCCACTTGTAAGGGGGACTAGAAAGCTTTACATTTGTAATTACAAAATAATTTTTCATACAGAAACTTAGTAACAGTGGTTATCATCAGGAAAAGGACTAGGATTGCTATTCTCTATCTCCTTATTTCAATTTTAACAATAAACAGAAAAATTTAAAAGATTAAATTAAGCAGGAACGTTAAAAAAGCTAAAATTAAATTTTAATGTGCATGCACAATATAAACTCTTAACTATTTGCCTAATTAACCATACTGTGCACAATTTGAGATCTAAACACTCAACAGGTCAAATCTCATTAGTTTACAGTATTTTAGTCATTGGATATGAAGATGCATAATGGTTTTGCAGAGAATGGCAAGGAATGGATTATTAAGGGCTAGTATTTTATACTAAGGAACAGCTTTCTTAATCCTACATACCATGGAAATGCACTGGTTTATTTTAGACAAAGCAACGATACTGTTTATTTCATAGTGGCATACAGATGTTTTTACCAATAGTATCCCAAGCTACTTACATACTTCCTTGCCCTTTTCTGATAAGAAAATCTCACTTAATATGAATGTTCTTATGAAGTATTTATGGGGCATCCACTCTTGACAGAATCACTTTAGTTTTAAAATGATGTAAGCTGTGGGGCTGGGGTTGTGGCTCAGTGGTAGAGCACTTGCCTAGCATGTGTAAAGAACTGGGTTCAATTCTCAGCACATAAATAAATAAAATAAAGGCCCATTGACAACTAAAAAATGTTTTAAAAAATAAAATGATGTAAGCTGTGATTCTTTTTCCTCCCATGTTTTGATATTAACACATGTAATAAAGTCCTTCAAAACATCTTTCCTCAGATGTTATGAATTTCTCCAAAATCCCTAGAATGTTTCTTTTAATATTTGTATTTCTTCTAGTAAGGAAAATATACACTTTTATTTATGGGCTTCCATACAAAATATCCTAGGAAAACTAGAGAAATATTGGGGGGAGGAGCTAAATATAACTACTCCTATAAAAAGAAAGACTTGGGCACAAAAGAAATGCTGTTAGACCCTCACCTAGTTTCATCTGCTACAATACAATATCAATATTGTATCTGGCTAACACACCACTCCCAATCATTCTTTCTGGATGCCTATTTGGTTTCATCAGATAGCATTCTGATATGTCCAAAATAAACTCATTAGGAGTTATAGGTGTGTATACACAATTAAGGACTGAAATAATGCTTCTGAAATAACGATGCCAGCAGAGCATCACTATGTCTTTAATAATAAGCACACTGTGTTTTTATTTAAAAATAAGCACAGTGACCTTGAGAAAACTGCAGTTCATTAGAATACTGCCTCTTAAACATACAATAAATAAATGAATCATTTATGAATAGATGTTTAAAAAGCCTGGCAAATGAGCAGCCCATGGCCCAGGCTGTGGTTGACACCTATTGGTGTTCTAAAATATCATTACCTGCTTTCTTTAAAAAAAACAAAAAAAAAAAAACAAACTTTATTTTCTTTACACATTTATTTATTTTTATGTGGTGCTGAGGATCAAATCCAGTGCCTCACATGTGCTAGACAAGCACTCTATCACTAAGCCATAATCCCAGCCCTTATTGTCTACCTTCACATATGCTTTTCTTTTAAAGTAATGTAGTTCAAAAATACATGGGAAATTCCATATACTTTTTAATTTTTATACTTCTATAGTTTAGGTACAGTGAGTAAGAGATTTTGCCACCGTAAGTTCACGTCACAATGTTTGTTGCTGTGCAGGTGACTGAAACCTAATGTTAGGTTATGATTGGCACACAAGCTAGTGCCTCCTAATTCACAAGGTTTATAAGCTATTTGTACACGTTTTTAAATTTAAGATTCTGATAAAAGCGATAATTTTAAAGTAATCTCAAATATGCTCTTACTATTTTTCCTTCTTTTTCACAACTTTGACATAGAACTAAGTTTTAACAAATAACCTGCACTCAAATTCCTGGAGCATAAATATCTTTTACAAAACTACTTGAGGGCTGAGGTAGAATATTTCCCTAGCATGAGTGAGGCACTGGGTTCGATCCTCAGCACTACATAACAATAAAATATATTGTGTCCACCTATAACTAAAAAATAAATGTTAAAGAAAACTATTTGAAAATTGTTTTTCTAAATTAAGCCAAAGATCCTTTTCATTAAATCCCACTAACATTATCACTTAATAAAACAGTTTGTCTTTATAAATAATGCAAAAGTAAACTTTAGCAAGCAGTTAAAATTTACCTCAAATTTTGAATCAATGCTTAACCATATACTTTCAAACTCCCCTTAACTGGGAATGCTTTTGAAATTTTGTATCTTGGAACAAATACTTGCTATACTATGCAAACAACAACATATTTCATGATGTTCTCAGGTAGGCACTGAGCACCACCTACTTCCTGTTCCTCTCTTTAGGAAACCTGGTAGGACTGTACTTCTCTCTTCAAATTGGTAACAGTTAAGTGACTTGCTTTGGTCAGTGAAATTAAGTTCAAGTGAAAGCTTTAAAGAGTTTGAGTGTAAAAGACCTTACCACTGTGATTTCAGATGGCAGAAGCTTTGCCAGGCTTCATCCCCACAGAAGGATACCATAAACCAGAGACAGCAGTGAAGCAGAGACAGCAAACTGAGACAGTATTGAAGTAAGCAAGAAATAATTGTGCTGTAATAAGCCACTAGGGCTCCAGGTTCAGCAAAACCTGCTCCATCCTACCTGTAACAGCACATTTCAAAGAAGTCACAAAATAAATGTAATTTGGTTCTTATAGCATTCAAAAAAAGTAGGATCAAGTAGAATGAATTTGACTGCCTAACTCACATATGCATATACAATAATTAACTCAAAATGGATTAAGAATCTAAATTTAAGAGCTAAAATCATAACTCATAGAATAAAACATAGGAATAAATTCATTTGACCTTGGATCTGGCAATGAATTCATAGATTACACCAAAACCATGAGCAACAATAGGAAAAACAGGTAAACTGGACTTCATAAAAAATTAAAAACTTTTATATGTTAAAGGACATTACAAGAAGTTAGAAAACAACCAATAGCAGGGCTGGCGGTAGAGCTTAGTAGTAAAGCACTTGTCTACCATGTGTGAGGCCATGGATTCAATACCCAGCACTGTTTAAAAAAAAAAAAAAGAAAGAATGAATGAAAACCTATAGGAGAAAACATTTTAAAATCATATGTCTGGTAAGGTTTCAGCATCCAGAATACAAAATAAATTCTTATAACTCAATAACAAAACAAAACACAACTCAAAAGAAAAAAAATGGGCAAAGGAGGGCTGGGGTTGTGGCTCAGCGGAGCCCTCAGTTCAATCCTCAGCGCCACATAAAAATAAATAAATAAATAAATATATATATATATATATATTTATATATTTTTTTTAATGGGAAAAGGATATAAACAGACATTTCTACAAAGAAAATATCACCTATAGCTTGGATCTTAAATGTTCCCCAAAGATTCACAGGTTAATAGCTTGGTGCCACTGAAGGTGGTGGAAGGTTTAAGAGGTGGGGCCTAATGGGAGGTCTTAAGGGCTCTGAGGATACGAGCAGGGATTATGGAAACCTGGTCATCTCCTTGCTCTCTTTGGCTTTCTACTCATGAGGGGAATTTTGTTCTACCATGTACTCCCCACCACTGCTTTTGGTCCAAAAGGAATAGATCTGCTCAATCATGAATTTGAATCTTTAAAACAATGGGCAAAATAAACCTTTTCCCTGTGTAATTTGATTATC